CGTCGTCGTCGTCGTCGTCGTCGTCGTCGTCCTCGTGCGTCGTCGTGCGTCGTCGTCGTCGTCGTCGTCGTCGTGCGTCGTCGTCGTCGTCGTCGTCGTCGTCGTCGTCGTCGTGCGTCGTCGTCGTGCGTCGTCGTCGTGCGTCGTCGTGCGTCGTCGTCGTCGTCGTCGTCGTCGTCGTCGTGCGTCGTCGTCGTCGTCGTCGTCGTCGTCGTCGTGCGTCGTCGTCGTCGTGCGTCGTCGGCGCCGCCCGCCCGCCCCGACCCGCCCGTGAGGGTCCGCCCTCCGCCTGCTCGACCCGACCCGCCCGTCGGGGTCTACTCGGGCTGCCCCGATCACGCGCCACGCTTGGATATCTCCCACCCGCCCTCCCCTGGGGTTTTTACGCGTGCTCGCTCGAGGAGGAGGAGGAGGAGGAGGAGGAGGAGGAGGAGGAGGAGGAGGAGGAGGAGCAGGGGAGGAGGAGGAGGAAGGGAGGAGGAGGAGGAGAAGGAGGAGGAGGAGGAGGAGGAGGAGGAGGAGGAGGAGGAGGAGGAGGAGGAGGAGGAGGAGGAGGAGGGGAGGAGGGGGAGGAGGAGGAGGAGGAGGAGGAGGAGGAGGAGGGAGGAGGGGAGGGGGAGGAGGAGGAGGATGAGGAGGAGGACCAGGGGGGAGGAGGAGGAGGAGGAGGAGGAGGAGGAGGAGGAGAAGCAGGAGCAGAGCAGGAGCAGGAGCAGGAGCAGGAGGACGAGGCTCGAGGAGGAGAAGAAGGAGGAGGAGGAGGAGGAGCAGGGGGAGGGGACCGAGGTATAAGGTCGAGGTCGTTTCGGGGAGGTGATCCCAGTTCAGAAAAGAACAAACGCCATAAACATAAACTTCTGGCGCTCCGCGCGGATTTCTTGGATCCGCCCTGTGCCCTCCCGGTGGCGCCTCTGGCGCCGCCCCTGGCGCGCTCCGCGCGCCAGGGAGGGGGGTTCCAGCTCAAACCCAAGAAATAAGTTTGTTTATGCAGTTGTTTGTTTCTCTACTAGTGTTCGTCGTGTTTGTTGGATGTTCTCGTGCATCCTGGGGAGGGTGCCCCTGAATGCTCTGATTGTCTTGACCAACGGGGGGCCTCCTGCTCTTGAGGGATGTGCTTCTGGCCTCGAACCGACTGTATGCACCACACCCTGATGTCCCGTCCACCCGACCCGACCTAGCCGTGAGTGTCTGCGCGTGCTCCTCTCTTACGCACTGCACTTCCATGTCCTGTCCGCCCGCTCGGGTCCGCCCGCCCGGCCCGACCCGCCCGCCAAGGTTTTCGCGCACCACCTTGATTACTCACCGCACTTTAGCGTCCGCCAGCCAGACCCGACCCGCCCGTTCGGGTGTACTCATGCTACTTCTACTACGCATCACACGTTACTGTTCCGCCCGCCCGCGCGCGCTACTTCTCTTAATGCATTACATTATAACGTCCAACCTGGCCGACCCGACCCGCTCGTTAGGATCCGTCCGCCCGACCCGACCCGCTCGTCAAGGTTTACGCGTGTTGCTTCGGATACGCATCGCACTTTAATGTCCCGCGCGCCCGACCCGACCCGCCCGTTTGGGCCCGCCCGCCCGACCCAATCCGCCCGTTAGGATCTACGTGTGCTATTTCGATTATGCACTACATTTCAATGCCACGCCCGACCCGACCCGACCTGCCCATTAGAGTCCGCCCGTCCGACCCGACCCGCCCATTCGGGTTTACGCGTTCCGCCCGCCCGACCCGATCCGCCCGTCAAGGCTTACATGTGCTACTTCGGTCACGCACCACATTACAATGCCTCGCTCGCCCGACCCGACCCGTCCGTCAGGGTCCGCTCGCCCGACCCAACCCGCCTGTTAGGATCTATGCGTGCTACTTCGATTATGCACTACATTTCAATCTCCCGCCTGCCCGACCCCATTAGGGTCTGTCTTCCCGGCCCGATCTGCTTGTTAGGGCTTACACGCGTTACCTTGCTTATGCACCACATACGCTTTAATTTCCAGCCCAGCCGACCCGACCCGCTCGCTAGGGTCCGCCCGCCCGACCCGACCCGCCCGTCAACAAGGGTTTCGCGTGTTACTTCGACTATGCACCACTCTTGAAGTGTTCCGCCCGCCCGACCCAATCCGCCCGTCAGGGTCCGCCCGCCTGACCCGACCCGCCAGTCAGGGCTTACGCGTGCTACTTCGATTATGCACCCCCTTTGATGTCCCGCCCGCCCGCCCGACCCGACACGCCCATCAGGGTCCGCCCGCCCGACCGTTAGGACCTCACCTACGCACTGCACTTTCATGTCCAACCCGGCCGTCCCGACCCGCCCGTTGGGGTCCCCCCGCCCGACCCGACCCGCCAGTCAGGGTTTGTTCGCGTGCTGCTTCGCTTATGCACCGCACTTCGACGTCCCGCCCGCCCAACCCGGATCGCCCGTCAGGGTGCGTCCGTCCGACCCGACCCACCCGCTTGGGTCTGCGCGTGATACCTCGAGCATGCACCACACTTGAATGTCCAACACGGCCGACCCAGCCCGCCCGTTAGTGTCCGCCCGCCCCACCCGACCCATCTGTAAAGGTTCACGCGTGCTACTTCGATCATGCACCACATGTCAATTCCCGCCCGCCCGACCCGACCCGCCCGTTAGGGTCTATGCGCGCTACCTCGCCCATGCTCTGCAGTTTTATGTCCCGTCCGACCCGACCCGACCCTACCCGTTACGGTCTACGCGTGCTACCTCGAGCATGCAACACGCTTGAATGCCCCGCCCGACCGCCACGACACGCCCACAATGGTCCGCCCGTCCGAACCGACCCGCCCGTCAGGGTCTACGCGTGCTACTTCGTTGATGCACCACACTTGAGTGTCCGTCCGCCAGGCTTGACCCGCCCGTTCGGGTTTACTCGTGTTGCTTCGGTTATGCATCGCACGTTTATATCCCGCCAGCCATCCCGACCCGACCCGCCAGGCAGGGTTTGCGCGTGTTCAACCGCTTATGCACTACAATTGAATGCCCCGCCCGCGCGACTCGACACGCGTGTCAGGACTTCCACGTGGTGCTTCGATTGTGCACCACTCTTTGGTGCCCCGTCCGTCCAACCTGACCCGCCCGCTAGGGATTGTTATGCGTTTTATCTTGTATACGCACTACCATTTGATTCACCGAGGCTTTCCACTACTCGCAAAGTGCCCACTCGCAAACGTCCCTAACACATGTTTTCCTCGATATAATGTATCGTAAATCCCCCGCGGCGGACCCTGGCCATTTGCGACTCGAGTAGTGGAACGCGCTTGTCCATTGATGTCCTGTCCGCCCGACCCGTCCCTCTCGTCAGGGTGCGCCGCCCGACCTGACCCGCCAGGTCGGGTTTGCGCGTGCTCACGCGATTTCTGCACCGCACTTTGCCGTCTGGCCCGCCCGACCCGACCCGCCCGTTGTATGGGCGACGGCGATGACGCCGACGGCGGCGACAGCGACGGCGACGGCTTCGATGACGACGGCGACGGCGAAGGGAGCGTCGGCGAAAGGAGGACTGGCGAAACCAGCTCATGGGCCGCCCACCAGAGACGGCGACATGGATCCTCACAGGCGAGCATCGCAGACAGATCCAGACGGCGGCTGCGGACAGGCCAGGCTCGAGTGGCACCGCTGCGGCCGCGTCGCAGACGCTCTCAGCGGCCTCCCCGATGCTTTGCCTGATGCCCTTTGGGTCCGAAACCAGCTCCAGAGGATCGGATCGATCCTTGACCACTCCCCCCCAGACATTCGACGATATCTGTTTTTCCCATCCGCTCGTCTTATGTTTTTTGCTCCGCTCCCGGCCACTTCCCCGAGGACGGTCGTTTTTTTCACACCTAGTCCATGTTGTATTGCCGTGGGGTCCGAAGCCGGCGCCCGGGATTGAAACACCACTCCGCCAGATGCCTGGGCCTCCTTGTCGTCCTCCTCCTCCTCCTCCTCCTCCTCCTCCTCCTCCTCCGCCTCCTCCGCCTCCTCCTCCTCCTCGAGCGAGCACGCCCGAATGTTCGTGAGCGGCCGCTTGAGCACTGTGCTTTACAAGTGCCCCTACCACAGGCTCAGAACCGAACCGGCCTTGGGAGACGCTGGTTTGGTGTGGACGTGCGAAATGCAAGTCAACCAGATGTCTTGGCCTCCTCGCCCTCCTCCTGCACAAGGGCTTGCCGCGAGGGGGTGGCCTTCTAAGAAGACAGGGCCTTTTTAGAAGACAGGGGCCTTTGTGGCAGGGCCCAGCGGATTCGACGAAGGCTGCTTAGAGATTCGGAGGGCTTCTGAGAAGCAACCTGCCCTTTTGAAACCTCTCCCCTTCTTGTCCGCCCGACCGCCTCGCGCCACTCCCTGTAGGATGCGACTCCTGGGAGATTCAAGTCGGAATCGGCGCTAGTATCCGTGGTCGAAAACCGGCCTTGCTTGGCATACTCTCGGAGTTACTCCCGTGTGATCCTGGCCAATTCCCTTTTATCCGTCTTGATCGGGTTGAGTAGTGGGTTTGATCAGGGCTGATACGGCTTGATGGACCTTTTATCTAGTCTTAAATCCTGAATTATCCTTGCGAAGACAACCTGGGAGTTGCTTCCCAGCCCCTTGTTGAGTCAAGAAGCACGCTGACCATGCCAAAGATGTCGCGACACCTCGTCGACACCGATCTCGGTCGTGGTCCATGCTGGCCGCCGCCGATCTTGCGAGGATGATCTCCGACTCGACGGCTACCAAGATGGACGGTGACCAAGATCTGCACCGATCGCTTTCCGTAGCCGCTTTGGCTCAGGCCATGCCGGCCCAGCCCGAGAGTCGGGCCGGACGAAAGGGGGGGATCGGGAAAGGGGGAGTTACGACATCTGCTGCATGCAGCTGGTTTTTCGGCCCCACCGAGGGGCCCCTTCCTCGTTATACACAGCCGCCTCCGGCGCCTGGAGGCGCCGGGAAAATCAGCGGCGTGAGCTGACTCTCACCCCCCCCCCCTTTGCTGCCCCCCCCTCTCGCCCGGCCCGAGAGAGGCGCCGCGGGCCGGCGCCCCGGCGCCGATGCCGTCGGCGCGGAGGTGGTGCCAACGGGCCGCCGCCGGGCTCGCGTGTGGGCTCGTCGCCGCGGCGACCTGCCTCACGGCCTGGGGGGAGGGCAGCCTGAGCTTGTCCGCCAGGGACCTGCCGGCCTCGGCGGCCGCGGCGCCGCTGGCGCCCGAGGGCCCGCGGCCCTCCTCGACGACTGCGCCGCGGCCCCCCGCGCGGCACGAGCGCGCGGCCGCGAGCGCCGCGCCGCCTGGCGACGCTGAGGCCCAGCACGGGAGCTCACAGCTCGGAGCCACGGGAGCGGTCAGGAATACAACGGACGCGCCAGCACAGCCGGCTGTGCCGGCATGGCGTTCCTACGTCCACCGCGACGGGGAGAATCCGCTCGTGGCCGGTGCCAGTGCCGAAGGGCTGCCCGAGGACAGCCAGGGGGGCAGGCCGGGGTGGCTCGTGGGTGACGACACGCTGATCGTGGACGCGCGCGCGCAGAGGGGCGACGGCAGTGGTGGCATCCTCGTAGTGAGTGCAGTCCTTCTGGATAGCAAAAAGCATACCTGGGGGGCTCGGGCGGGCGGTAAGGAAGCAGGAGAGATGCGCCGCCCAAAATGGTTTCGATCTTGTTTGGCAGCCACCCGCTCGCGCTTGCGGAGGTTTGGGCATGCGATGGTCGTCAGGTGGAAGCCAACACTGAAGGCGTCTGAGCGTATCGCGCATTATTGTGCAAAGCAAGAGGCGATGAAGATTCAAGAGGCCCAGCAGTGCTTCAGGGACCACGAGACCATAATATCCGTAAGGGCTTCGCCCCATGCCGCCGGCCCCCTGTCTCGGATAATGGGAGATGCAAAAGCTAAATCATGAGGTCTGGGCGCCGCCGTGAAGCAGTGTCGGGACCTGTTTGTTATTCGACCCTGACCCTACGGATCTGCGTGAGGGGTGCCGCCGAATTTCAGAAATGTGGCAAATCCCTTGATGTTTGGATCCCGAATTTCAGTAGCAAAGCCCATCTGTTTTTGGACCCTGACCCTGCCGATCTGCGTGAGGGGTGCCGCCGAATTACAGAAATGTTGCAAATCTCTATGTTTTTGGACCCTTACCCCGCCGATCTGCGTGAGGGGTGCCACCGAATTTCAGAAATGTGGCAAATCCCTGGTGTTTTTTTGGACCCTTACCCCGCCGATCTGCGTGAGGGGTGCCACCGAATGTCAAACATGTGACAAATCCCATGTGTTTCTGGACCCTGACCCTGCCGATCTGCGTGAGGGGTGCCGCCGAATTTCAGAAATGTTGCAAACCTCTTGATTTTTGGACCATGACCCTACGGATCTGCGTGAGGGGTGCCACCGAATTTCAGAAATGTGGCAAATCCCTTCTGTTTTTTGCACCCTGACCCCGCGGATCTGCGTGCGGGGTGTAAATTTGTACCCCCCAAAAAATTCAGAGAACCCTTTTTGGTCGTGGTAAAAATGCCCGTTTTGGGCCTCCCCCCCCCCGCGCGGTCCATCAACAAGGGACAGTAAGCAGCAAGAAGTCAACAGGGAACAGTGAGCAGCAAGAAGCAGAATTGTAACAGTGGAAACTGGAAGCTGCAACTGGTACAGGAAACTGCGAATTCCCGGCCTACAGCCTGGTGGCCCACAAGGGGGCCGGCGGATTCAATTGGGAGAAGGAGCTAATGCTTCTCGAGTATTTGTCGAGCCCCGAGAATTTCGCATATGTTCTCATGCTGGACGCCGACGCCGCGCTCGTGCACGCAGAGCACGACACCCTCTCCCTGATGGCATTGGAACTCCGGGCAGCGGGCAAGGTCATGTTCCTGTCCAACGAGGATTGGAGCAAAGGTGGGAAACGCGTCATCAACGGCGGCCTTATATTCGTTGCCAATGTCGTTTGGACGCGGCAGTTCTTCCAGGACATGCTCGGCGCTTACATGAAGGGCACGGTACAGGGTCTGAAGAGTGTCGGAGGCGGGAGCCTCACATGCACATCGAACGAGCAGGCGTGCCTTCTTGGTATGGCGAAGCGTCCGGGCTTCCAGGAGAGGGTGGCCGTCTTCAGCGGCCAGAGGTGGAACAGGGGTGGCTGCGTCTTCGGCACATGCGAGCAGTTTGGTGGGCCCGCCAACACGGAAATGGGGCGCCTTGGCATGACCGACCCAAGCATGGAGATTATGCATTTCTCTGGCGGCTCGAAGAACTGGGCGTCAAAGGTTCTGTGCAACGCCAGCCTGAATGTATCTCGCGAGCCCATCGATGGGTATGGCTGCTCCGGCAAGTGAGCAAGGAACGCGAGGTCAGCAGACCTTAAAGTGCTCCAGAAAGGCAGACGAGACGCGTCCGTGCTCAGCTTCCCACGGGGGAGGTCTGAAATGGCTTGTCTTGGTGGGTCCAGACCCCCTCCCTTTTATTACGAAATCTGGAGTAGTCGGTGTCCCTCCCTCGCCTGCCCATGTCACGGAGGCCACGTCCACTGCGGGAGGGCGAGCAGTGGCAGCGTCCCGCTCGCGGCGGTGTGCGGCGTGCGCTGAGGCAGAGAAGAAAGATCAGCACCGACCTTCCTGCGTTCAGTTCTGATCACGGTTCTCGTTCTCCTTCCTTCCACCTTGTGCACGTTTTCATTAGACGTCGAAAACGCTGGGGGCGTGTTTCGCGATTGTGTGTGCACAGTTTTTGATGGTCTTTTTGGTTTCTGGCCAACGAACTCGGAAGAAACAGCGGCAGCCGACAACAGGACAAACAAGCGGCTGTGCAACATGGAGCCGAGCCGAGTATTGTGCGAACGAGGTCCCCTAATTGCTTTTACAAAAAATGAATTGACCCAACAGCGGGACAACACGTCGATAGTGAAAGCCCGAAACACGCCCCCAGCGTTCTTGACGTCATCTCGTTGCTTGGCATCGCTCGGACGTGTGCCTTTTTCCTTCGGCGAGGGCCATCGAGGAGCATCCTTGATCATGTGGCGAAAAAACCACGCACGAAACCGAACAAAAACACGGGGAGTGGCCGTCCGGGCGATGGCGCGAGTGCGAGCCGCCCGTCTTCACCCCCTCGGCGGCCGCCCGTGGCCCTGAGAGGCCACCGACGACAAGCCTGCCGTGCCGGCCGTCAGCGGCGGCCTCCGGGCCGAGGCCGCGGAGTGGCCCGGCGCTCGGACCATCGGCCGGTCGGCCCTGGAATCGGGAGCGGAAAAGAGAGTCCCTAAGTGCTTGACGACTCTTTGCCACTCGACTGAAATCCAGGTAAATGCAGACAAATCCAGGTAAATGCAGATAAATCTAGGTAAATTCAGGTAAATCCGAGTAAGTCCAGGTAAATCCAGAGATCTTCAGGGACAGTTGGAGCAAATTGCGGCCGCTCTAGCGCGAGTCGAAGGACGGCAGAAGTCGTTAAGCCTTTAACGAGAGGGGGGTGGTGATGAGGGGGGGTGGATTTCATGGCGCGGGCCACGATTTCTCCTCAGACTTCATGGCGCCTCGGCTGATTTTGTTGCGTCCCAGGCCCCCCCGCTGGGCCGCGCACGTGCCGCCGGTCATGATTTGCACCCCCGCCCTCTTGGACTCCCCCCTCTTGGCCGCTCCCGATTGAAGGAGGGAGGAGGTGGACGGAGGAGGGACGGGGGAGGGAGCAGGAAGAGTGCAAATCACACGGAGCAGACCACGCACAGCTCTTCTTCGTCACGCACAGCGCCGCTCTGGGCAGAGCATCGTACCATAGGCTCTGGAACCCACCGTACCCTCGGTGAGGGTCCTTGTATGTATGGTGGGGTGGGTGGGGATTTAGATGTGGGTAGGGTGGGCCACGTCCTCGACACAGTGCTTGCTGTCGATATCTGCTTTGCTTGTCCAGCTTCTCCCGCCCGATCCTCGTGCTTTTCTGCTGCACTGCCGCTAGCCACGCCACTGTTGCCTCGCGCTCGCCCTCCGGGGATCTGCTCCGTCCCGGTCCGCTCTCGTCCCGCCGAGGAGCGCGACAGTCCCGCCGCTGATGTTTCTGCCTAGAGTGGCAACAGGAGGAGGAGGAGGAGGAGGAGGAGGAGGAGGAGGAGGAGGAGGAGGAGGGAAGAGGAGGGAAGCGGAGGGAAGAGGGAAGAGGAGGGTAGACCTATACGAGGGCTCGAGCTGAACAGTGTTTTGGCGATCTCGTGGGCCGTTTCCGTCTTGCTCTCGTCTCGCAGCAGAGGCACAACGGCGACAGGCCGAAGAAAGGCGAATCCAGAGCGAACACGCATCGACAGGCGAAATCCGCTGTTAAGCTCCAGCCCTGACCCACACCTCGAGGAGCACACATGGGGGGGGGCCTTCGAGCACGGTGCCGCTCGACAGCGCGTGCGCGCTGCAGTGTGGCCGTCGCCCCTCTCGCCTGCCCTGCTGCCGACTTGCTCCTCCCACCCTCCCTCGTGCACGGCGATGCCGCGGACACCGCGGACACGTCGTCTTTCAGGGAAGTGCACGGCCGCAGGGAAGAGGAGGGGGGGGAGGGGCAGGAGGAGCACGGGAGGAGACGAAGGGCGGAGGGGGATGAGGAGGAGAAGCATCATCTCTCCCTTTTGAGGTCATGACCATGGTGGGCTCTCCTTTCCTCCCTCCCTCCACGTTGTGCCTGTCTACTGTTAAAAAAACTATTTCCTTACAGCCGGTGGCATTGTCCACCTGGCTGCCTAGTCTGATCAACCCGCCAGGGCCGACCGGCCCTGGGCGGGGGGCGGCCGTCGACGATCTCTCACACCACCAGGCCCCAGGTTCCAGGAGGAGGGGCAACAGACGACAGTATACCACGGGTGCATCATCGATGCTGCAGCACACCTGCCCGTTCAAGGATCGCACCCCGTGGAAGACCAGCACGGTGGGGCCTGCCATGTTGGCGAGGCCCCGATGTGTTTTGGCGCGCAGGCCGTGGCGTGAGAAGGTGTGGCCATACAGTTCAGCGACGTGTCCAGCGATGTCCCCCTTTTTGAAGCAGGACCGCCCCGGTCATGCGTGAAAACGTTGCGCTTCGAGGTTCGAAAGTGTCAGGAAGGGACAAAAACACGCAGACACAATTAATCGTCGATCCCCCAGAAAATATAAGAAAATATGGGCAGTGGGGGGGAAGGCAAAACCCAGAACATATGGGAAACTATGGTGCGTAATTTTATTTGTGTGTATTTATTAGTGTGTCCTTGGGCCCCCTGAAAATGAGCCGCTTTAGATCCGTGCAACGCTACATGTGTTGAAGTAGAGCGCCTGTAAACTTAACGACTGTTCCCGCGAGAACCGCATTTCGGACATCGCAGGCCTTCATCCCTCTAAGCGTGGCATAGCAAGCAAAAAACGAGTGTGTGCGGCTGAGACGAAGAGGCCCATTTCAGAACAACGTGTGCCCTATCTGCCAAACAAAGTCGATCTTCTACCATGCAACTGCTGCAACCTTCTGGTTCAATGTGCGCCGCGTTGACGACAGAAGCATATCTTGAACACGAGCCCGCCCTCTATCTTCCAAGCTACTGCAAACCTGTATGACGAATGTGCGCGGCGCTATGGCTGCAGCCAATGAAAACGCATTCAATCCGTCCTTGAGACTGATGCAGCAATTTGTGAAGAATGTGCCTGGCGCTCAAGCGAAATCCACATGTCGAAAACGATTTCTCCAATTGTGAACCAGTAGCAACAATATCGGACGAATGTGCGCGATGCTGAAGCGAGAGCCACATATTCAAAGGGACCGGCTTCCATCCTTGAAACTGTTGCGAGCTTTGGATGCACATGCGCGCGGCGCTAAGGCTGTTGCGAATATTTGAGCTCATGTGTGCGGCGCTAGGGCGAGAACCAAATTTTGAAAATGACCACACCTCCATCCTTGAATTGTTGCAACTGTTTCAGACAACCGAGCGCGGCGCTAATGCGAAGGCGACGTTTTGGGAACGACCCCTTTATATCTGAAGCTGTCTTCTAATTCGGCGCAGCGCCCAGGGCGCGCTACCGATGCGTCTGGTGGCGTGGCAGGGCGAGTTACTCTTAAGGAAAAGGGATGCAGGGCTAAGGGTCAGAGCGGGCCCTTTACGGGCTAACCGCTGAACAGGGGGCGTCCAGGGAAGCGCCAGCAAGGGTGCGTCGTCAGCGGCCACTTTCAATTTTTCAATGTCCACGGATAAGGGGGGACGCCAGTCGTACAACTGACCGTCAAGAGGAACCGTCGAGGGGTGGCATCAACGTCGAAAGGATGCATCAAGGTGGACGCCAGGGGGAGGCTTCAAGTAAGGGAGCCAACGTCAACGGCAAACTTCAACGGCCAATGTCAACGGCCATTACGGGACGCTAAGCCGCACGGAGTGGATTCTTCCCTTCACGTCCAGGAGAGTGACCACCAGACTTGCCCCCCCAGCAGTGTTCCGAGGAGGAGGAGGAGGAGGATGAGCAGGAGGAGGAGGAGGAGGAGAAGGAAGAGGAAGAGGAGGAGGAGGAGGAGGAGGAGGAGGAGGAGGAGGAGGAGGAGGAGGAGCCCCGAACTTCTTCCCCCCCCCTACTGCTGCTCCTCTCTCTCTCTCTCTCTCTCTCTCTTACTCCAGAAGCACGAGGGAAACCTTGCCAACCAGTCCGAACACACATCCGAAGCCCTCTTGGCACCGCCCTCCTGCGCCTGCTGCTGCTGTTGCCCCCCCTCCTCACGCAGCCCCTCTGGCTCAAGCCACTTTGGCTCAGAGAGAATCTCCAGGTGGCCTCACCACCCAGGGCGCACCGGTCAGCAGCAGGAGCCTCGGCCATGGCCTCCCGCATTCCCACCGTGGACGGCGATCGGGCCGCGCTCGACGAGAGCGAGTCCGATCCCGGCGAGGCCGCTCCGAGCAGCGCCTCGCGTCCGCGGCGGGCGTGGGCCGTCGCGGCGGCGTCGGCGGCTGCGGGCTTGGCCTTCGCCCTGCTCCTGGTGGGGGCCCCCGGGCGCCCGGTGCGGTCCACGGGCTCCTCGCGCGAGGCCCTCATCACGGAGGCCGAGCAGCCGCCCGAGAGGAAGGCGCTGGTGATGCTCCCGGGCATGGGGAAGGAGCCCGGGGCGTCCGAGGGCAGCGAGAAGCCGCAGACAGCCGAGGACCTCATAGCGGAGGCCGTGGGGCTGGGCAAGGCCGCGGACGACGCCAAGGAGGCCGCGAAGAAGCGCGGCGAGCTCGCCGAGGGTCAGGTGAAGCAGGCGCAGCAGGCGATCCAGGACGCCAAGGAGTCGATCCAGAAGGCGAAGCAAGGCGTCAAGGACGCGGAGGCCCAGATCAAGGAAGGCAAGGCTTTGCGCGAGCAGGCGCTGAAGGATGCCGAGGAGGGTTCCAGGCAGCAGGAAAAGGCAGAGGGCGACCTTGTTGCGGCGAAGAAGGACCTCGACGGTGCCACCAGCGATGAGGCGAAGGCGCGGGACCAGAAGACCGCTGCCAAGGAGGCAGAGGAGGCTTCCCTGCAGAAGGCCGCGAGCGGCCGCGCCTGCGTTGACCTCCCTGGGGTGAGGATGCGCCCTGGGGCCAGCGAGAACGAGTTCCGCCGCCAGGTGGAGCCCGACTGGTACCCAAAGATGGACAGCATGGCGGCCTGCACGGAGTGGTGCAAGTCGCACCCCTCTTGCATTCAGGCGACCTTCTCCTACGTCGGTGTGCCAGAGGGCGGCAGTCCGTGCCACCTGTTCGAGGAGCGCGGCGAGATCTACGACTTCCGCGACGACTTCAACGCCTCGTGGTGCGGCACCTTCGAGCAGACCGACTACCTGGTTGGGGAGGTCAAGAAGGTTTTCGAGCAGAAGCCCTGGGTCGGGGACAACTTCGGTGCCGTCCCGTGTGGCTTCGGCGGCGACGATTGCCAGCAGAGCAAGTGCTGCGGCTCGCAGACGTGCACGTGGGACTTTAGCAAGTGCGAGTACTTCAAGTGCATCCGGAAGGACGAGAACTTCGCCGGCTGCGCTGCGGAGCCAGAGGGTGGTTGGGACGGCGAGATCCTTGGTTACGGACCCCCCGATGAGGACCTCCCCGCCGTCGAGGATGGGAAGCTGGCCCACCCGACCTCCCTCTTCTGCTTTGTGGTGATGATGCCTGGGGCACGCGCCTCCGCCGGGGTGCAGGAGGACGAGGGGGCGCTGGTGGCGACCATGAAGGAGACGTCGTCGAGCGTCTACTCTTGCGACGAGCAGCTGGTGATCGAGGGCTGGGTGAGCTCAGGCTCTGAGGCGAATATCGACGCTTTCATCCAGTACTGGGGCAAGGTGAAGGAGGACGGCCGCTACATGCTGCACGACTGGGTGATCAAGGCCGACGCAGACTGCGTCTTCATGGCGGACCGTGTCAAGGCCCATATCAATCAGTTCAAGCCGCCCGCTGGCGCTGCCGTCTACTTCAGGAACACCGCGTTCAGGTTCAACTTCATGGGCGCCTTCGAGATGATGAGCCGGGAGGGCGCCCAGGTGTTCTTCGAGAACAACTGGCAATGCGACGCGAAGATCGGCCATACGGGCGGAGAGGATTATTGGATGAAGCTGTGCCTTGATACCCTGGGCCTCCGGCACATCTCTGACTACGCCCTGCTGTATGACAAGTACGCCGCGCAGAATGATTGCGATGACTCTTGGGCCGCAGCCTTCCACTTCTACAAGACCCCCGAGCAGGTTAAGAGCTGCCTGAAGGGAATCAGCAGGTGATGGCACCTTGCGCGATCGCCGATCGCTCACAGCTCAGATTCTATGACATAGAGCTCTCTCGCTTACTCTCTCTCTCTCTCTGTTTTTTGTGCTTGTCTCTCTCTCTCTGTCTCTCTCTCTCTCTATATATATATATAGACTTATCATATACATTATATATACAAGTGGCACGTGAGTGCCCAGGCTCATACAAAAATCTGAAAGGTCGTTTGGAGCAGGAAGACACCATGACGGCGGGATCGGAGATGGAGAAGGGAAAGCTGGCGCGGCGCCGCCAGGGCGTGCCTAAGAGAAGGGGAAGAGGCAGGAGGTGATCGCAGAATAATCTAAGATCGAAGACGAGGGGAACGCAGAGGGGAAGAGGCGGAGGTGAACGCAGAACGAGAAGAGTTGCGAGGACGCTTCAGGCGGAAGTGGCCTGAGCACCTCAGTTCAGAGCCAGAGTTGCGAGGGTGTCGCAGGCGAAAATGGCCAGACCACCACAGGACAGGGTATCTCGGAATCCAGAGTTGCGAGGATGTCTCAGGCGGAAGTGGCTCATCCTCATCCTCCCCTCTTCCTCCTGCTCCTCCTCGTCCTTTTCGCTCGCCACAAGCACAAAAACATATAGCACTAGTGATGCAAGATGGGCTGGCGGAATAAGCGAAGCGATTAACAAGAGAAGTGTAAGCACGATTCCCACCAGCCGATTTATTTCTCTAGATGTGGAGGGAAAGAGAAGGACGAGAAGAGGAGGAGGAGGAGGAGGAGGAGGAGGAGGAGGAGGAGGATAGCTGCTGGGAGTGAAGTGCAACAGCGGGGTCGCGCTCGAGCGCAAGCGGTGTTGCCACACCTTGCGATGTGTGTATCACGGGCCCCCAGGAAGCTCCGGGAGGGTCGACCAGGATGCCGGAAAATATTCCAGGAGGCCCCAGGAGGGGTTGTCTGGGATCGAGGTTGCGAGGATATCCATGGAGGCCTCAGGAGGCCTGACCAGGAGGCCGCAAGAGGCTCCAGGAGGAGGAGAGTACGTCTGGGCTCGAAGTTGCGATGCTGTCCCTGGAGGCCGCAAGATGCTCCAGGAGGCCCGACCAAGAGAACGCAGGCCCAAGGAGGCCCCAGGAGGTTCCAAGAGGCCCCCCAGGAGGCTCCGAGGCGGGGTTTGCGGTACCAGAAGGTACGTCAGGGCTCGATATTCGGAGGATGTCTCAGGCGAAACCGCCATTCTTTGAGAATCGGGGTCCAAATCGTTGAACCCACCATGTGTTTTTAGAAGGTTTTATGTTCGAATGTTGAAATTCCCATGTGTTTTTGGACCCTGACGTCACGATCTGTGTAAGGGGTGCCACCGGTTTTCAGAATTTCGAGGATGTCCCTAGCGAAACGGCCAGAAAAATCGCGGACGCGGCGCGGCCTTCAATTAATCGCCTCTGAGCTCTACTCCCTCGGATATGTGCGTATGACATATGTGTATATATATGTATATGTCGCTCTCTCTCTCTCTCTCTCTCTCCCTCTATATATATATATATATATATATGTATGTCTCTGTTTCTCGTTACCCCTTGCTCTCGACACGGGCAGCGCGGCTCGAACAGAAATTCTTACTCCTGGGAGCGATTCTGCACGCTGTGGGCAGGTGTACTGTGGGGTCGGGGTCGCCTTCGTTGACTCCGCCACTGTGGCGCGCAGCAGCTATGCTGAATTTGGATTACTGCTCCTGTTTCGAGTGCGGAGTCCTCAGACATCCGGCATTCCCATGGAAATTGTGGGAAGCCGTGCATTAGATTTTGGAGGCCCGCACTTTGCTCCAGCGTCTTTCGACACATCAGAATTTGCAGAAGTTGCCGTAATTAGTGTCCAACCCGTCTTATGCATGGGAGACCTAGCATCAGCTGCTCTCTTCGACATCTTTCTCCTCGTTCTCTTCTTCCTTGTCCACTTCCTCCAGTACATCTTTCCTCATTGTCCTGCTCGTCCTCATCTCCCAACACCCACGGCAAAGCTGCTGTGGAATTCGGAGGCAGCGAATCTTGCTGTCTTTGTGTGCACTCGATGGCCCATGGAATCTTTTTCTCCATCTGGACGTGCCCTTCAATTCGAATGTCGCGGCAACCGTGCCGCATTCGATCAAGCTTCCCGCGCCAAAGTCCTTGGCGACGACCGGACAGCAACGCGGTCATGAATCTCAGCTCCACCCCTTCCTCCTCCCGGCTGGTTGCTGCCTCTGCAGGCCGTCCAATCCCATCCATGCGAATGCACTCCAAGCCTATCCCATGTTGTGTTGCCCAATCCTGTCCGTTCCAATCCGCCAGTCTGGTCTTCCTCCTCATCGTCCTCCTCCTCCTCCTTTTCCTCATCCTCCTCCTCCCTCTCCGGACATGTCCGCGAACTTGAGGACACTTTTCCCCCCTTCCTCCCCTGTCACTCCCCCCTCCTTGTCTCTGCAAAGAGATCTGGCTCTGGTTCTGTCCAGGGGTGCGCTCTGGCCAGGATCCAGAGGCGGGTCCAGCCGTGGCGACGAGGGCGCCTCGGGAGAGTCCGCAAGGGAGAAGCCCTTCAGAACCTTCGACTCTCGATCCACGGTCGTGGACCACAGCCTCTGGAAGGCCGCTTTTGCTGTCTCGTGGGATGACTCGTGGGAGCCTCTTGTGGCCTCCTGGGTCCATTGAGGCCCCTACGGGGTACCTTGGGTACTTTAATTAGGGGCCTTGGAGGCCTGCTGGCATTCTCGGTGGCCATCTTTGGGTGAGGGTTCCCACGGCCTTTCAGGCTTGGGGGCCCTTTGGGGATCCTCATTCCTCGAGGTCGTCCTCCTTCGTCCTCCCTCCTCGCTTGTCCTCCTTCTCCACCTGGGCGGAGGCACAAGCGTGAGATGTTTCAGAAAACTGGGGCCATGGAGGGATTGCTTACCCCACGGTGCGCAACGGGGATCGCCAGCGCGGAGTTGGATACAATACCAGAGGTGTGCGTGTGTGTGTGTGTGTATGTGTGTGTGCGTGTGTGTAAGCGCTGCGATAGAGGTGCTCCCGACACCGTCCGCCACGGAGTTCATGAGTGCCCATGCAATGAAGCACGTGAGCACCCGCGGGCAGACGGTGGAGGGGAGAGGAGCCCGTATCCCGCCCCTCCCGCCGAGGTCTGGCGCGACGAAGGACCTTTAGACTCTGTATCCTCTCTCTCTCTCATTCTCGTCGTCGCTGCATCCGCTGGCGTCGTCGTCGTCCGTCGTCCCTCGTCGTCGTGGTCGTCCGTCGTGGTCGTGGTCGTCCGGCATCATCGTGGTCGTCCGACATCGTCATGGTCGTCCGTCGTCGTCGTGGTGGACGTCGTCGTCGACGTCGTCGTCGTCGCGGTCGGCGATCGTCGTCCGTCATCGTGGTCGTCCGGCGTCGTCGTGGTCGTCCGGCATCATCGTGGTCGCCCGTCATCGTCATGGTCGTCCGTCGTCGTCGTCGTCGTCGTCGTCGTCGTCGTCGTCGTCGTCGTCGTCGTCCGTCGTCCGTCGTCGTCGTCGTCGTCGTTGTCGACGTCGTCGTCTTGTCGTCTTGTCGTCTTGTCGTCCTCGTGTCAGTCCGTCCGCCCGTCCGTCGTCGTCGTCCGTCGTCCGTCGTTGCCGTCGTGGTGTTCGTCGTCGTCGTCCGTCCGTCCGTCCGCCCGCCCGGCCGTGCGTCCGTCCGTCATCGTCGCTGTCGTCCATCGTCCATCGTGGTCGTCGTCGTCGTCGTTGTTGGCGTCTCTTTGTCTCCGTCGTCTCCTCGTCGTCGTTTTTCGTCGTCATCCCTTTCTCTCTCGGTTTCGTCAGTTCTGTCTGCTCATCTGTCCTTAATTTCCGTCCGCAGTTCACGAGACGAGAGTCTCCTAGGGAGCTGGCTACACGTGACGTTGGCGGCCTGGCCGAGATCTGGATACATCTGTGGCCAGACGTTTTTCCACACACGGCTGGGTACACGTGGAAAAAAAACACACGGTGGAAAACACACACACACACACACGCACGCACGCACGCACGCACGCACGCACGCACGCACGCACGCACGCACGCACGCACACACACACACACACACACACACACACACACACACACACACACACACACACACACACACACACACACACACACACACACACACACACACACACACACACACACACACACACACACACACACACACACACACACACACACACACACACACACACACACCACACACACACACACACACACACACACACACACACACACACACACACACACACACACACACACACACACACACACACACACACACACACACACACACACACACACACACACACACACACACACACACACACACACACACACACACACACACACACACACACGACAAAACACACACACACAAACATTGTGGAAACAAACACGCACACATAGTGTGTGTTTATGTGTGTGTGTTTGTGTGTGTTTTTGGTGCTTTGGTGCCTCGGCGGCCTGGGGCGTCTGCACCTCGCCAGGCCCGTGCGCAGGGCCCTCGGGCGACGTCCGTCGCCTGCCGAGCCCGAGAGAGGGGCCGAGCCGCGGGCAGCGCCCCCGCGCGCTCCCCAGGGCGGCGGCGCCGTGGCCCCCTCGAGGCCGCGCCCCACCCTAGGCCCCTCAGCCTGCCGCCAAGGGGGGCCGAAAAGCAGCGAGAAAACGCGCCGCGCCCAGGCCACCCGCACTGCGGGAAGGTAGGCCCGCGCGCCCCGAGCGGGGCGGCAGCCCCGCCCAGGCCCCTCAGCTCACGGATAACACCGCGCCAAGGGGGGCCGCACGCACTGAAACCAGACAGATCATTGAACGAGCACAACGGCCTCAACTCAGATCCCGTCCAGTTTTTGGGTCCTGGCCGCGCTGGATGCGGCGGATGCGCCTGAGGCGCTCCCTGTCGCCTGGGTCGCGCGGGTCCAGCCGCCTGCACGGCCCGCCGAGGTTCCTGGCCACCGAGCTGTAGTAGGAACCGCACACCACGCAAACCACGAAGTTGCCGATGATCTCGACCGTATGCGGCCGCGGCACCGACGAAGCGGCCCTGGCCGTCCCAGGCCGCGCCTGGCCACCCCTGGCGGGCTGGGCAGAGGCAGAGGCCGCCCGCCCGCGCGCACCCTGCTCTGGCTCCGAGGCCGCCGC